CCTCAGCAAACACTGGCGGTGGGTGCTCCCTCCCTAGGCTGCCCTGGCGTGTTCACAGACACCACAGCCCTCCCCTCCCTGCTCTGCAAGCCTCGCCCACCAACCCCCCGCCCCCGAGAAGCCCTGACGCGCGAGCCTTGCACACAGCCGCACCCGTGTCCTCTCCAGTCAACTCAGTGCACCCTGTCCCAGAGCAGCCAAGCCACCAACCTGTGCGAGGGCTACACCCCACATGCTGCTTCCTGCGTCAGTGGGAAGGGCCACGCTCTTCACGCCCTGGCCTCCAGATCCCAGCAAACCTTTCTGCACCTGTACTGCTCACCATAACACAGGTCAACTCCCAGGACCCTCTTCACTGCATTCAATCTGCTAAAGAATCACTGAAGCGTTTATTTAAATACTGAAGATTCTTATTAGTGGAATCCTTATCTTTTTATTTTCAAATAATCTCTCTTTTGGGTGACATTGTTATTTTCTTTCTGTCATTTCTTTAAATATATTAAACATACCTATTCAGTATTCTGTAATCAATGATTCCAATTCCCAATGTTTCTGAAAATCTAGTTGTATGGTTTGTTATCTTTCACCAATCCTTAAGGTAGCATGACTTCTTGTGTCTTGTAAGTATGGATCTGACTTCACTTCTGGTGAAGTTTGGGATGCATGCATGGAAAGATGTGACCTTCCAAAGAGAGTCTGCTTTGTGTCTACCAGATGCCCCTGTACCCTGTCAAACTGCACTGTAATTTAGTTCTTATTCCAGGGATTATCCAAACCATGGTGGTACAATTTGGAACCCCCAAAATATGTAAGAAAAAATTGGTTTTCAATTATCAGGAAGAGCCTAAATTTTCCCACTCAAAGCTCAGGTCAAGAAAGGTAACTGTCATCTCTTACCAGATAATAGATTCTTATCCAATCTTTGTCCCCCCAATTTGAACTTCAGAGGATTCTAGCTGTATAGAAAGGGGCTCCTTTGTTCTAACTCCCTATCTTCTAAGGTCCCAGGGACTTTCTCTCTCTTTTTGGAAGCAGTTATTAAGTTTAAATCTCTTAGCTGCCAAGACTAACAAATACCTCCAGCACAATTATAGGTTCAGAATCTGCTAAAATTCTGTGGCTTTAAGATACTTCCTTTATTCATCCCTAGAAATTTCCTTTGTTTTCTTGTGTACTCACCTGTGCATTTAAAAGATGCACTTCCAGCTTATTTATATTCAAATATTTTCCAGGATACTTAATCTCACATACTGCCAAAAATTTAAAACCTATTTTTCAACCCATTTCAGCTTGGCTTGCATGCTCAACACAGCAACAAACAAATAAGCCACTGCTATCAGAAAGGGCTTTGGCAACCTCCACATTGCCCAATCAAGTGAACTTAATGGTCTGCATCTTTCCTGACCTACAGAAGTCTCATGCTGGCCCCATGACACCACACTCTTGGTGGTGGTATGTCTCTGGCCACTCCTCAGTCTGATGTGCAGTTCCCTCCTCCATTACCTAGCCTCTACATGGTGCAGCTCCTCCATTGTCCACACTAAGCCCTCACTACTTCACATTGCACATACCTTCATCACCAAGGTCATCCATCAAATACCACGGCCTTAAATGTCACCTCCTACTCACAAAGTATTCATAATCAGGCTCCTTACTGAGCACCAGATCTATATTATCTGACTACTATGCTTGCCCCCTCCACCAGGATGCCTCAGGCCTCACATAAAAGAGAACTCTTAACTATTTCCCCCATAACTTGCTTCTCTCAGTAGTTTTCACTTCAGGAAATGGCATCTCCATCTACCCATCTACCCAGTCATGCTTGACACCTCCCTCTTCCTTACCCTCCACATCCAGTGCGTTCACAGATACTGTGCCTTCTACCTTCAGAATACATTTAGAATCCACCCAGTTCTCGCAACTTGTTTTCCCCCAATTCTATCCAAGCCACCACTGACTCTCACCTAGACTTCTATAACCAATCACCTATCACTGATTTCAACATACTCTGCATGTAGAAGCCAGACTAGTATTTTAATTGTTTCAATGGCCTCCTACTGCCCTTAATCAAAAATCAAAATAGCTCCCCAGCACCACAAAAATAATTAATAGGCTAGATGTGGTAATACACACCTGTCATCCCAACACTCAGGAAGGCTGAGGCAAGAAGATTATCAAGTTCAAGTCTGTGCAACTTAGGGAGACCTTGTCTCAAAATAAAAAATTAAAAACGGGATGGGATGTAGCTTGGTGAAGAGCCTGGGTTCAGTACCCAGTACCACAAAATAAAACAAAATCCAAAGTACCTAACAACCCAGGTTGATCTTCCTAACTGCTCAGTCTCTTACGACCATCCTGCTAGTCTCCAGCTACAATGGCCTGCTTCAGTGCCCTGTGCCAATTCCACTTTCTCTCATCCCCAGGTCTCAGCACAACCCTGTTCCCTTGGCCAAAGTGCTCTTCCCACCCCACCAACTTTTCACCTGGTTAATGTGCTATCATCTTTGACACTGGTTTAAAGTTCATCTGCTCAGAGAGAGCTTCCCCACCTCACTCTCAATTAGTGCCTATGCTTTCCTTTCATGGTATATAAAACAATTTTTAATTATGTTTTGAGTTATTATATCTTTGAGTTATTGCTCACAAGACTCTTAGCTCCAAGAATATATGATTATTTTAACAATAGCTATATATATGCTTTTGGGAGAAGCAGAGGGAGAGCTGGGATCAAAGAGGGTAAAGGAAGGGCAGGGTATGGGGAAAAAATAAGAACCAAGACATATCATGTAAAGGTACAAGATCCCAATGATAAATGTAACTGCATTGTTTGCTTTAAATGTACCAATAAAGTTAATGAGGAAAACAATCTA